TGGGTGCTCTAGTCTGCCCTCCATAAGGACTGAATCTTAAAGCGACCACCCAGGATTTACAGTACAACCATGAGGTCTACATGGCTATGGTCTTGGCTAAGTAACTAGATTTCTCTAGCTTGTTAGTGGTTACCTAAAGGCGCAAGGGGGGACTAGGTTGCAGAATGGCTTCTTTCCTGTCAAGATGTGTGCTGGGTTGCGGTCAAGGTGTGCCAGTCTTGAAGGGGGCCGCCATTTTCCTAGACGCCGAAACCTCGCGGTCACTAACTTGTTAGAGGGGTCTTTGGAAAGGCCTCGTAGTGAACCCTGCGTACTTACCTTGGAAGTGAGTCAAGAGGTTGGCCACCTCGGGCATATGGGTATTCATGACTCATGGGTAAAGATGTACTGACTCTGCAGAGTTATATAAAATTGATATATCAGCCGTGCCCATGGACACGAGTGGCCTAGATCCTTTTCGAGACAGATGGTTCTATGGATGGTTTGGGTGATGGTTAATCCTGATGATGATAATTAATTATATTCACATGGGAGCTTTAAGCATAACCTAGTAACTCAGGTTTAATAAATAAAATATGACCAACTAAAAATGCTTACCGCAGTATAGCCGAGTCAAGCCTTCTTGAGCCTTGCATAACCTCATGTTATACTTGTTGAGTATGGTGCGCCCACTCTTGCTTTACAATTCAATCAACAAAAATAATGGATGGGTACTAGATGGTGAGTCAAAAGAGGAGTTCCCTGAGATGTTCCAAGAGTACTAGGTGAGTGCTCCCCCAGTCAACCGTCCCTACGGAGTATGGAGACCCAAAGAGAAGATTAAGTATAGTTTCCGTTGTGCTTTGTAATAGATGTAAGCCTTGTTGTAAATATGTTTCAATATATAATAAAGCATTGTTGTTGATATTCCCCATATTTGTCGCTATATGTGCCATGTTGACATCCTGGGCACACGTATAGTTAGCTCTTGGTATTCTTAGGAAAACCGGGTGCAACAGTACGCATCGGAGCTCACTAGTGCTCACTCCTAAGAAATCCGAAATCAATAGGTACTTTGGACATTTGGGCTATATATAACCCTTTGGCCAGCCAATTCAAGGGTATTAAAGTGTCCTAAAGTTGCTAGTGACTTGAGGATCTATTCCAAGTGATCTAGCCACCTAAAGTACTTAAGGAATGATTAGGTGATTAGCGATAGTGCTTTTGTGAAGTGTTTAGCCTAGTTAGAATATCAATTACGCCTGCTCTAGGCTTAAGACTAGTGTTTAGCAATTTTTGTATACTTCTTGCTACTCGGTGCTTGTGCGCACCAAACTTGTAATCCAAGGGAATTGGAATCTTGTGAGATCACATCAACCACATTTGTAGTCTGGCCTCCAGTGGTGCATAGAAGGAACAAGGCCCACGACATTCTAGTCAGAAGCTCGATAATGAAGAGGGTGGGGGCCGGTCTGGGAGAGTTCATATGGAAACCTACTTGAGCATGGGAAAGGCATGTAGGCTAGCCACGGAGTTACTCGATCGGGAGCTCAGTCCTTGTGAGGGGCTCCAACAAGGACTATGGGGGAGTGTAAGCTTCTCGATACCTCAAGAAAAATCATCATTGCGGGAGTTTGCATACCTCCAACTCATTCATGTTTCTATAGTTACTTTGTGTTCTTGGTTGTGTGCTTTACCTTTGGTATAGTCTAGCTTGCTAGGTCAGTTTATAGGACTAGAGCCTAGGGTGTAAAACTTTTGTGTTAGAGATAGAAACACTTAGCAAAACCATAGTGCGCATTTAGATATTATCTTGCATAGGTTTCAATAAGTAGCTTTTGATATCAGTCATCTTGTTCCCAGTAGAGTTCTAGCCACAAGGATGTTGGTATCATGGCTAACCAAGAAATCTTGGTTAGACACTCTTGTGTGTAGGTGAGAATTAACTTCTCCTATTTGCACTCCACCCTCTAACATGAGGGTGGATATCATCAAGCTTCAAGTCAAGCACCACTATGTGTAATGAAGAAGAAGACTATGACTACCAAGGAAAGTAAGAAAGGCTTGACACCTAGAGGATCAATGCCATTTGTAGCATGTCTATTTTTCTTTTTTTTCATCTTTACCCTGCGGCCTTATTGGTAGTGGATAAACTTTGTGTACATTGCATGTACTCCCATTACCCAAAAGAGTAATAGTGAAAAGCAAACATGCATGAATATAAGGGAAAGAATGTGGGCAAAGTTCTTCTCTAGAAACTTGCTCCTTCTTCTTGAGGCCTCTTGATAAACTTTTTGGTGTGTCTAAGCATTGTGCCACCAAGTAGAGCCAAATCTTTATAGTAGTTCACATGGGGATCAAGCCCCTTACCACCTCCACAACAATGGAGACATTGTTGTGGCTCTCCAATTTTTTCTATACATGGAAGAGAGAAAGATGCCAACAGGAACCATGGTCGGTCACCCTCATCAGGCTTTTGGACTAGGATTCACATGGGACAAGATTGATGCTATTTGCAGATGTTATAAGCAAAACATAAACAAAATGGAACCAGTTCCTCAAATGTAGAATGATTTACGTTAAAGAAGAGTAGTAGCTTGAATCTAAAGTTCTCTTTTTTGTGAATTACATAGTACTACGTAGACGCTCACCACGCACACACACTCACCCCTATGAGCGCATACACGCAAACCCTACCCCTATAAGTATCTTTGAAGATTGGGCTGGCAATCCTCGAGATTGACAAAGTCACCACAGGCGCCTCACTGTCTACGGGAACATCTCCTACCACAAAAAGCACAAACGCCGTTAAATCCTGGAATATTCGCTCCAACGGGAGTCGCCTAGGACATGAGGTGCTACTAAGGTTCTCATAACCACTAAGATATAGGCCCTTTCACAGCTCTATAGTTCTCTAACATAGCTACAGTAATAAATTACGATTTAACTACTGTTCTTCATGGGCACTATACACCTTTTATTAATGATTTCCATTATCTCACATGCTCTAGTACATTGACTCTAGATGGGACAATGAAGTCAGCTAACCTTGGGTAAAGGAAGTCAAATGGTGGTGCCATAAGAAAAAAAAATTAGAGCTATTTGGTTTGTTTGACATGTTAGCATGCCTAGGAGGCCAAGTCAGGCAACAACTTCTGATGCTAGGCACTCAAAATTGGGTGCCTCATATTGCTACATAGGCTAGACAACTTTCCTAGGGTTTGATCCAAACAAAATGCATGAAAAGGAACTAGCATAATCCAAATGGAGATTTCCCAAAATTGTCCATGTTGTTGTCAGTTGATCCTCCGTATCTCTACAACTCGAGAGGTAGGGGAATCTATGGATAATTGTCCATGTAGTTGCTATGGTAGATTAGGGTTTTAGTTGTAGTTGGTGGTAGGCGTCCTAGAGTTCCAAGTGGTGGTCTTCATGACAAACCTATACTGGGTTTTGGTTCTTAGAGGTGGCATTTCTATTTTAGAATAAGGTCATTCACCATTTATTTCCATACCTTAACTATGTTATTTTGAGCAATGACTCTGGGCTCGTCAGGTAGGTTCTCACCAAATCTGAATCTCTAGTTCGAGCTTTAGATCTTGGTGTCGCTCTATTATGTTGTCGGGTGTTTTGGCTCTTTTTGCGATGGCACCAGCAATGTCATGTGAAGGAAGTAGTTGGTCGGTTGATGGTGCAGTGACTTCCCAAGAATTACAGGTTGTACGAGCACATCAGGTGCTTAGGCCCTATTTGAATCCATGGATTAAATTTTAGCTACTAAATTTTAGACCACTTTAGCTCTTGAGGCTCCAAACATGTGGTCTAAAGCCCTATCTAAAGTTTAGCTAATCTCACAAAACTTTAGACCACAAAAGTGAACTAAAGTGGTCTAAAATTTTAGCCTTTAACTTTAACTAGTTAAAGTTGAGACTAGAGAATCAAAATAGATCCTTACCATAGTCGCATCGGAAGGAAGGAGAGCTAGCTCCACCACTCCCTACTGGCTTTTTGGCACTTGTGCGTTACTTATTAGGTTTCCTAAAGGCTCGGCTCTTGTTTGCTGTGATGCCTGCCTACGATGCTTGTAAGATTACGCCATTGGGCAAAAAAGTAAAATCTCCACCTTTGGCAATTCGAGTTTTTGTGTTTTTTTTTGGTAACTGGTGGATTCGAACCATCGCCGTTCAAGGAATGACACTTACCAAGCATATCATTTTTAGAAAACCCTTTATCCATCCAGTTCGTAAATATTGGATGTTGTTCAAGTTTATACTTTCATCCTGTTAGTGAATGTTGAGTATCTTGGGTATATTATGTACGCTCAAGGCGCTATATAAAAAGTACGCTATTTAGATTTGGTCTAGCTGGTTCTATCACTTTTGTTGTCTTGTCTTAATAACTAGGTTGAGATATCAGACTTTGGTTTTTGAATCCGATTTTTTAAGTCGATTTATCACGGTTATCTCTACGCGCGCGGAATATGATAGCTTGCCATGAGGCATCTGTCTGCAATTCCTGCTTGCTCCAGAGAACCCTGCTGACCTTGACTCGTGCAATTTCTTCCAACTTGGATTTTAGTACGCATTATATATTGCAGTGCTTGTCATAGTCACTTGTGCACTGATCCATGGTACTTGTGCTCGTCTACATCATCTCCCAAATATTACTTCATATTCCTTTCCCAGTTGAGAGTAATAAGAGTTACTGAAACGAGCTAGTACAAGAGGAAAGAAACGATCGAGGTCACTTGACTTGGCACACCAAAGGCAATAACAGTGAGCAATTTCATTCACCATCGTATTATTATTATGCAGAATTAACCTCTCACACACCTCAGCATTTTTATATAGGAACGGTCAACACGATAAATAGGTGTACATGAACAAATGAGGACACAATAGTCACGCATATATATGCTCATTTACGATTGTAGTCTCGCACTCATCTTGTAATAGAAGTGTACGTGTATACGTACTACTGTCAGATTTGGTGGATCGGAGCGTAGGTTTGATGATCCTTGATTAGAACATGGCGGCAGCGTGGTCCTTGAGCTCGCCGCAGTCGGCGATGACGACAGGCCTCACCGTCCTGCCGCTCATGGACCCGGCCTTTTCGATGGCGCGCACAGCGTCCATACCTTGCTCGACGCGGCCGAACGCGACGTGGCGGCCGTCCAGCCACGGCGCGTCGGCGAAGGTGATGAAGAACTGGGACCCGTTGGTGTTGGGCCCGGCGTTGGCCATGGACACCACGCCGGGGCCAGAGTGCCGGACGGCGCCGAGCGCCTCGTCGGCGAAGTACCGGCCGCCGTCGCCGAGCGCGGACTCGCCGCCCGTGCCGTTGCCCGCCGTGATGTCGCCGCCCTGGCACATGAACCCGGGCACCACGCGGTGGAACGGCACGCCCTTGTAGTGCAGGCGCTTGCCCGACCACCGGCCCGCGCCGCGCTCGCCCGTGCACAGCAGCCGGAAGTTCTCCGCTGTCTTGGGAACCTTGTCGGCGAACAGCTCGATGACGACGCGGCCAACCTTCTCGCCGCCGATGCTGAGGTCCAGGAACACCCTGGGGTTCTGGTTGTTCTTGGGCCGCGCCATCAATCAATTAAAATTAAATAAATTGACAGAGATCGAGTGTACTGTACTGTGTGCACAAGCAACTATAGCTACTAGAGACTCGCTCACTTCACTTGTGCTCAACTTGACTTGCTTGAGCCTTGTTGTAGGAGAGGAGTCGACGATAGATGCCTATATATAGGGGAGCAAATGGGATTGTGTATACTTGTATGGACTTGGAGAGAACAACGGCTTTTTATTTATTTATATTATAAATAGAGAAAGCAAAAAAGAAGATGCTTACAGACAACTGTATGTCACTGGCTGGCATATTTGCGTGTGGTCGTCAGTCTTTCCTAACTTTGATCCCTAGCGTATGCTGCTCCGTTCTTTCTTATTCCATGCATGCTACTGACCTTTCACTGTTAGTTGTTCCAACCACATATCATTACTTACAACTCAATAATATGAACTTCTTTTAAATTCAAATGGTATGACAAAAAAGAAATTCATGGTGTGCGCGTAACAGGATTTGCTGTGTTTAGGTAAAGCTTGTCATCATTTTGTGGTTCCTTTGGTATAGGGTGTCTTCATCAAAGGTAGTTTGATAAATTTGATTTTCAAATATAAGAACTTGAAATGCATATTTGGACCCCATAAAAAATAAAAAAGGGTGTACCCAGTGCAGAGAGCTCCCGCTCCGTGTAGGGGTCGGGGGAAGGATGTCAGTGGCAAGCCTTACCCTCACCTGTGCAACGCGAGGAGACCACGACTCAAACTTGGTATCTTTCAGTCACATGCGGTAAGACTCTACCGCTCAAATAAAAAATAACATCAAGTACAAAGTCTTAGATCTTACAGATCTACTAAATTTATTTGTCGTGAGCTATTTTCAGGGGGCGGTTGATCCTGAAAATCGACTTTTCGAGGCGGTTAATTCAGTCAACTGCCTCAAGAAATCACCCATTTCAGAGCTGTTGGCACAAGAAACATTCCTAAGAGCTTCTCCAAGAGTCCTTCGTAAACTCCCACTCTAAATCGTCATTTAGAGAGACATTGGAATAAAAAATTGCTCTATATCTTTCCATCCTCCAATAGCTTTTCCTATTGTACGCACTCTAGAGACCGAATCCCGCTCTCCATCTTTGGCTAGCGGAAAATCTGGAATAAAGGATGACAATATTTTGATATCCAATTAAAGAAGTTGAAGGATATTTTTTCACCAAAATCTCTATTACTATCAATAAGGAAGGATATAAAGATGCTACAACTATTTTCAAGATGGGTTGTTTTATGTCAACTGCCTTTGAAAATAGGTAGATTTTCTTTGTGGTTTTATTAACTCAAATTTTCATGGAAATCGATTTCTTATGAACCACCACTAAAAAATGAAAGGTGGCTATGAAAATTATCTATGTAGTAGTGTAATTAAACGTTGATAAATACTTCCATACATTAATGACTCTCTGACTCACTCACTCACTCACTTTTCGGAATTACTCCCTCTATCACCAAATCAATATCTACCTGTCTTAAGTGATTTTTTTAAAAAAAACTCACATTTATAGAAAAAGACACAATATTTATGAGACCAAATAAGCACACTACGAAAATATATTTTACAGTGTATCTAATAATATCAATTTGATGTCAGAAATATTTGTGCTTTTTTTTATAGATTCCGTTGAATTTAAAAGTATTATTTCATACAACTTTGTAAGTTTATTATTCTAGGATGGAAAGAGCTAGTTAAGCTTTAGTCACAGCTGCAGCCTGCTGTGGCGCTTGTGGAATATTCACTTGGCAATCAATACTTGGCTCGTTTTGTTTCTTATTATATGCGTGATAATTAAGGCGAACGTGTTTCTCACGCGGTGTTGTCTGATTCGAGTTGCTCCCGATCGAGACAATCACATCAAGTTGTCCTTGCTCTCCTTTGTGGCCGTAAAATTAGGATATTCAAGTTCACACGCATTGTTGCTATTAGCCTATGACAGTCATATAACAGTCATATACAGAAGACAGATTCTGATTCGACACCCCCAACCTATTAGCCTATGACAGTCATATAGTATAGGAGTAGAGCATAACATTTTTACTGTGGGAATATATACTGGACACTACATTAATTAATTGGACCGATGTGCAATAGGACAGATCTAGAACTTCCAGTGTCTTATCTTGAACGGACTAGCTATGTTCACTACTTCCTCCGTCCGGAAAAGCGAGCAATTCTAGGTTCCCGATATAGAGTTAGCAGAGATCAGAAACGGCACATATGCCCCTAGCTTATCCACCCACTACAACGCATGCACTGAGATGACAACTTTCTTTTTTGTGTTTCTGGTGCATGCGTCCACAAGCCACAACCACACAATTTCCTTCTCAATGGTGTCAAGTACTCCGGTTCAAGCTTCCACTGCGGCTAGTACAACAGGCCCCACCATCACATCCTACCCTGTAGAGGTCATGTTTGCTTCTCTTATAATCTATCTTTTTCAACTTGTTTTTTCAGTCGGAATAGGAACAGTGTTTTTTAATGGACAAGAGGAAAGAACTACAATTGCATTTTTTGACGGAGGAAGTATATAATAAAATAGCCTGAGTGCGCCGCATTCATCATGATTAAGATAGTAATAATATGGAGTGCTCACAAGACGCGAAAACTACATGACATGTATTCTGTGGGTTGGAGCTATAGCCTATAGCTACATCTTTTTGTACATTATATTCTGCGTACATAACAAGCGAGATGGATAAAATTTCAGGGATATGCACATGAGAGCCATGAGATAGGGATCTTACTAGTTTAACCTACAACATATTTTAGTGGCCTGGATGTTCCTCAGTTAATTAGGATACATTATATTCTGCGTACATAACAAGCGGCCGGAATGGGTAGAATTTTATTTTAGGGATAAGGAGACATGATAGGGATCTTATTAGTTTAACTTACAATATATTAGTGATTTGAGCGTTCCTCACTTGATTAGGTTTCTTGCGGCGAAATTTGTACATTTAGGTTTAGGTTCATGACTTTGCACCAGTGCTAAGCGACAAAACCAGCTCAGTTTTTCAGAGGTGTTTTATGGGGCTGTGTGTATACTTTCATGTGTGCTCAAAAGGTTAGTATGTATATGGCTAGATACATAAGGCTGGTACCGACTTAACTTGTGTTTGGGATTGTGTGCTCAAAAGGTTAGTATGTATATGGCTAGATACATAAGGCTGGTACCGACTTAACTTGTGATTGGGATTGCGGTGCGGTAGGGTGATCACGGCTCCTAATACATAGCACGGAAAACATGAGTGTCTTGTGTGGTGGAAAGAATCATCGGTACAGTAAAACATTCGGTGGCATTTTCTTGATTCTCTTATGGTGGAGCAGACAAGAATCTAATTTTAACAGAAACGAATATGGCCTTAATTTTTTAAATGTTAGAGTGTGTGTATATTTATGAGCATCAGTATTTGTACCATGTTTTAAAAAAGTTCTGAAAAGGTTTAAAATCTTGTTAATGTCTTGGTGGTTAGCTTCGAATTATGCAAGAATAATAGAAATCAAAATCCCAATCTGAACCATTACAAACATATGGAAATTCCCATTTAAGAGCCGATTCCTTCTTAAACTATTTATTTACACCTACTAACCTCTAAAAAAAGAAACCTTCCAAGTGTATATATTGACTATATAAACGAGTGTGAAATGTTTGGGCAGATTTTTCATGTGTTGTTAGCGTAGCTTCAGAGTTAGTTTTTAGGTGTCGCAAAAAGAGAGGTGCGATATGTGCAATACACTAAAACACAGCTTGTAAGGGGTGCTATACTAGCACTTTGGCACAAAGTTAAGCATCTTGTGCCAAGAAGAGAGAAGATTAGACAGAGGCGCGAGGTTGGCAGGTGGAGAGGGAAAGAAAATATTTGGTTTTTATCATGGGAAGTGCTAGCGCTTGACGTCCGGACGGACGCTTGCGTCTGGACACCCGCACGCTGCACTCCGTTTCACGCCCTCCACACGGGGCCCGCACCGCCCGAGCGACGACAGAAAGGGGCGCGGCACCTCCGATTCGAAAGGACCCGACCACGGCATCGTATGGATGCTCTCCCGGTGCCGGGAGGAGGACACACCGAGACAATGCATCAGAAGGCGGGGAGGAGAGATGCAACACCCGATCTACTTTTGAAACATCCAAATACAACAGTTGCAACATACGTCTGAAGGCAGTTGAAACACTTTAAACATGCTTTTGAAACACTTGAAAAAACATCTGAAAAACACATGAAAACCATTGCAACCATATACAACATTAAAATAAAACACATGCAACGTATTTGTGAACATATGCAACATCCAGATAAACACACTTGCAACATACTTCTAGAAATCACAGATAAAACATACCTCTGAAACATCTAAAACACTCGAAACATACACTTGCAGCATGCCTCTGAAAAATTGCAACATATGCAACATGTGCAACATCCATATAAAATAATTGCAACATACATCTGAAATGCCCTAAGCACTTAAAACATACATATGCAACATAAGGGAGGGGAAGGCTGGGCCGGTTGATTCCAGTCGTCGGGGTCGGAGACGGCAGCGAGCGACTGCGCGCGAGCACCAGCACCACCAGTATCGGGCTTGGCTCAGCGGCGACTATGGGGGATGGGGGCGAGGAGCACCATGGCCATCGGGGTGGGGGAAAGCCACCCACTCCCTGCAACACCACCGCGCCACCTCCATGAATCTCGCTCGTGCTCCATGAATCTCGTCGGGGTGGGGGAGAGGGCCACCAAATCCGCGGCCGTTGGGCGCTCCTGGTGGGTGAGGACGTTGAGATGGGGGGAGGGGCGCCACCGGGGTGGGTGGAGGAGCCGCCAGGGTGGGGAGGAGGAGGCCGGGGTGGGTGAGGGCACTGCCACCGGCTAGAGAGGCAGCCATGGCCGCGCGTCGGGGTGGGGCAGGGCGTGAGCGTGGAGGGAGGAGGAAGCGAGGGATAAGATTCTTGTGGGTGCGGGAGTGAGCAGAGTGAAGCGTCCGTTCGTCCAGACATCTCGATAGAGCATTATCGTTTTATGATTTGGTTTGATGGATTCCACATTGGTACTGCACGTTGGAGAAAATTTTGCCAACGTAACACCTAGCATGTGGGCTCTAGCATAGCACTTCTCAAATGTTACTCTCTTTATTCCAAATTATAAAGGTCTTTTTGGTTGAAGGACAAGTTTGGATGGAATATAGGCTTATTCATGGATTTCAGGATATAGGCTTATTCATATTTTCTGTTTGGTTGGATGGGAAACGGGCCATTTTTCTATTTGGTTAGATAGATGAGAGTGGATATGATGGAAATAGTTGTCTAATTATATCTATTATTTAGAAATAATAACAACTAATTATACACCAATATATATGCGCTAGCACTAATTTTGTCATGATAATCTTTAGTTAAAAATAAAAATGTATTAATTAGAACTACTACTACCTTAATTGGCACACCAGACATGCATGCACTAATCAACATATTAGCATTTACCAAAACTAATCTTTTCATAATTACTAAGTAATAATATAACATAATAAAAATTCTTAAATTTACTATGATAAAAATTAGAAAACATGAACAAGCTCGTCAACAATTTTTTTTAGTAAAAGTAATATATCTAGAAATGTCAAAAAGATTTATAATGTGAAACGGAGGGAGTCTATATCATGGATGCTTTTATCGGTTCTTAGACAGTAACATTTGCGTCCTTCATATGGATTCAACGCAGAGTGTGAAATCGTCTTTTATCTACATCGTCGTGATGTCGAATATTTAATGGACTCATAAGTTCAGCTTGCCTAACAAAGTGTTCAATGCTTATTTAAATATATAAACGTAATAACAAGGCAAAGATTATTCTTCATGCGTATAAGGTATCAAAAGGCCAACAAAACTTCAGGTCTTCAGCTATTCTGTAGCATGCTCAGTGTGAGTCAATGATAATTATCAAAAAAATAATAATAATCTGCATCTCAAGATACTGCGAACCTTAAACAATTTTTAGGTTGCTTGCACCCTGCTGGGCACGCCGTCCTTTTTGTTCCGCCGCTATCAAAATTGACTTGGAAAACAACTTGCAACAACATATTGTCCGACAAGTCTCGAGTTAAATCGTCAGCCTCGTATGGTTATTCCCGAATTTACATCAGGTAGGGCATCCGACAGGACTTTCAACTATCACTCTCTACTTTACCAACCGTCACTTTACCAGACGGCCCCCCTCACGTATGCCATCCTCCATCTCGTCCATCTGCGGTAGCCGACTTCCTAATTATACTTCGTCTGTCTACTAAAGGGTTGTACACTACAACGTTTATTTATGTGCTCCGCATACCTCACCTCGTCTCCATCAGAGAAATTTATATCCTGTACCGGAACGATTTGAGGGAGCTTCACACCCACACCAGGTTAATTTGCACTGTAGAGTTTTTAAACGAAAGCTTGAACAGATGGAGAAGGCAAAGAAAGGTAGGGTAAATCAGATGCAACGGGCCAAAACTGTGTTCTTCTAAAGAAAAAATTGCGCACCTGCTCAAGAACGCCTAGCATCTACATGTATCATTTGTTTCGGTTCTCTGGTTGTGATGATGGGACGCACATTGGCCAGCAAGGACAATCCAAGCACAATATACACGGAAGAATAAGCGTGGTCGGCCGTGTGGAGGCTCGGAAAGGCAAGTCCAGCAAGATTCTCGGGCCACTTTGGGGGCCTCAGCTGTGAAACCGAACAAAGGTGAAACGAAAACGAAGCTTCCTCGGGTTTCGTCGCCTTCAGTCTGATTTGGTGCCCTGGCTCTGCAAATTTATATCGTAGTCGCTGGAATCCACTTTACTTTGGTGACAGTAACATGTGAGGCCATGGTGAGCACTGACTATATATAAATATTTATGTACGCGCAGTTCTTAAGCACATAGACCTACCCTTGCAAAACATGTATATGTCGTAGAGACGAGGTCTGGTTTCGTCTAACAACACAGATTCTGCACGTTACGACGTCGACATGCAAGTCCACAAGTGGCTCAATGCAAAGTTAGCCAACACATTTCTTTAACAAAGAGAGAATTTACAAGAGTCACATGAGAAGGTTACTATGCAAAAGCCCGGGATACAGAAGGGTAGTAATTTCAGTTAGCGACCTGACAAATGGTTTAAAGCTGGAGTTCTTCTCTATAGCTGCAAAATGTTATAAAAAAGGAGGGGGAAAGTAAGTACAAATGCAACCTGAAAAAAACATAACAAAATTCAAAGTACTAATTCCAATTACGAAGAGTACCTTGAAGCATAGCCTTAATTCCTTTGCAGAAATCTTCAAGCCGACCAAGCACTGGCCTGATGCCACATGACTGGGATACACATAGTTCCATGTAAAGTGACGTTTCAAGTGTCACCAATAGGAGCTGGCATACCTTCTCTGTCTCGGGATTTAGAGTGCTTGACCCATTTGCCTCGAATACTTCAGTGACAATACAAACCACTTGATCCTGAAAAGAGAGATCACAGATGGAAGAAGGAATTATACACGCACAAAAAACATCTTTCATATTTATAAATAGAAATTTAATGTCTTATTCATGAGAAGATGGCAGATTTCAACAAGATCCTAATGAACTGGACCTTAAACTTAAACATAGAGTAGATGTAGAATACGGATAAACCAGTTTTCAAGTTTCAAGTCAATAATCATAACTAGTACAAGTTTCAAGTCAATAGTCTACAATAAACAGTTTCAAGTATGAATGAAGTCAATACTCTGCACGCTGCACTATGACTCCTTTATAAGGCTAGACATCATGTTTGGGTCACCTACTTATAACTACTAGCAGTTAGGAACATTCAGTGAAATCTGCACTCAGAGAAGTCAGAAATGAAAAAGCAAAAACAATTACCTTATAAGAATTAACTAATTACCTATTATAGTGTAAAATCCATGTATTACAAAATTAAACTGGTTTAGCATTTCCTTAACTTCAAAACTACAACTACACATTTGAAACAACTAAAAGCGGTCCAAGAGAAAAAAAAAATATAAGCATAAAGTAGCACTTGTAGAAAGCAACAAGAGGCACAGCAGTTGCTACCTGTAAACCATGAAGAATATCTGGCATGGGAAGCTCAGGAAAATGGGCAAGGTCAAGAAACTCCAGTTCTTCTGCCCTTTTTACTGCTTCTTTTGCTTGACTACAGAGAAACTTCATAATAAGAAAAGCAATCCTGTAAATCTGAACAGCTAATATCTCAGTATAACGAGTTTGCCTTATAGAATCAGAATCTCCTGAACTCTTGTCCCTTCTCACCACCGATATAGCTGCACTGGGAGAAACTGAAACAGCTGCAGTTGACAAAGTACAACTTGCAGCAAATTTGAACCATCCATACTTGCTACAAATGAGTGGTGGATTCGAATTAAGCACTACTTCCTCTTTGATAACAGCAGGGCAGAAAAACAATGAGTTCCAGTTAGAGGCATCGCCAGTCTTTACACTTCCTTTGCTTATAAATGCTAGCAGGTGGATAATAATCTCTCTTAGTTCTGAATCTACTTCCTTCTTTCCAGTGTCCCGTGGAAAATGATATTTTGCCAAGATACATAGAAGTATGAGAATATTCTCAGTAAGACTAAGGGCTGAAAGTGATGTCTGTGACTTCTGCGACAATGCCTGTTTCTTGCTCTGATGAGTAGAAGCACTCTGTGCAGACAGATATGATGACATCAGAGGCACCTGTCCTGAAAGGAAGCTGATAGTACTGTTTGCGACATTGTTATGAGAAATGTCATCATCCAAACAATGGTTCAGGGACGCAACAATACCGAGACCCAAGCCCCATAGGTTCACATCCTTCACTTGGGCGCTCAAGGAATTTCTCAAACAGGAGTCATCCAGAGACAACTGACTCAAAAGTACCTTTAAGAATGCAAAAATATTGGCAGACTGAAGAACTTTAGCACCATCCTTTGTTCGCCCCAAGGTCAAGAGGAAATTAAGTATAACTTGAGTAGATAATAAATCACCATTCTGGCATTTATGCAGTATAGCCTGGAGATGAAAATGCTTTTGCAGAATAGGCACCCATACATTAGAAGGTACAAATCCCTTCAATATTAGATCCATTGATGCAACAGCAAGATCAGCGCATTCCCTATTCTCTGCCAATTTGCACAGTATAGGTAGCAAGCTCACACTTAAAAGGGCTAATTCGCCAAACATGTTAACATCATTTGGTAGGTCTTTTATGTCAACCTTGCTGTACATGAACTCATATGATGACAAAAGCAGAATAAGAAGTGCCTTCACTGGTTTCTTAAGAGCATGAGCAGATGGCATGAGATCAACAAAAAAAGAAGTGCTGGCACCTGAAGTTTTCATTAGAAGTACAATATCGGGGCAGAGATGGCTTGATTTCTTGTTCTTTGCTTGATGAAATAATATTCGGGCAAGAGTTAGCAATAATTCCACTTGTCTGGACAAGAGAGGAAACAAAACCTCATTTGTATCAGCTTGAGGAAGCAGTGAATCAGCAGCTGACTCAAATGATTTACATGCACATCTAATTGCCGATTGTGTGTCCGCTACTGATATGCCTCCATCAGGTAAGTCCAAGTTTTTGTTAGAAACCTGTAGATGTTCTAAGATTAGCTGCCAAACAAAAATTACAAGAAAATTGCAACTTTCACATTTAGGTCAAGTCAACATGGGTAGGTTCATATATTTTCCAAACCGGTCACCAGTGAATAAGGCACATCATTCCTGACCCCCCCCCCCCCTCCCTTCCCCACCCCACACACACAAACTTTAGTAAACACGGTAGGGCATGCTTATGGGTCTGACAGGTTTATTAACACATGAAATAAAAGCATGTTTTTTGGACCTTCAGAATATCAAAGGGGAAAGTGAGAAACCGCTATGGGTGCCCATTGTTACTTAGAAGATTAACCTTAATTTAAAGTGATGAATATATAAGGCTGTTAGAAGATAAAGTTGTAGAATTTGTTACGAGCCAGCTCTATATAAAGAGAGGAATGGGCGCACTGGACTCATTAAGAGGCAAGCAATGAAGAATTGGTCCAAGTCTCCATATAGTCCAGCCTACCACAAAGGGCTGAATCGACCGGTCATCTTCTCGGTGGTGTTCACCCCTAATGAACTATGGTTCATAACATCTGGTATCAGGATAGACAGGGGTCCTTTTCCATGCCTTCTGCTGCTGATCGGTTGGTGCCATCATGCTGCAACAGCAGCAGATGTCAAGGCGCTATCCAACTAGCACAGCAAACAGCCACATTTGTGCTACCTGTGGCAATGCCACCGCCGTTTTTTTTTTGACCCGAAAATACAGCAGGGGAGACCCCCACTGTAAGAGATTTTTATTAATTTTCAAAAAGAGGAAAAAAACTGTACAAAGAAAGTAGGGCCTAAAAGAACTAAGCCACACAACCAGCAAGAGGGCAGGAGAAACTGCACTCCAGAGAAGCAGAAAGAACTAGGAGAGGGGGTCTAAACAGAGGAGAAAAGCATGTCGTTTTTCTTCACTAAGTCTAAAGGCTTGAAGTTTGGCTTCCTCGTAAAAGGAGGTTTTCCATGAGATAAAGGAGGGGCGTCCTCTGTCGAAGATGAAGTTATTTCTCTGCTTCCAAATAAGCCAAGAGGCAATGATGAAGATCTCCATGAAGAAGGTGTTTCGAAGCTGTTGCTTTGCTTGCATCATCATTTGGAAAAAATCACTTGTAAGGTTCCAATGAATACCTAGGAATCTCCAGCAAGCCTGACTGAAAGAACAGCTAAAGAACAGGTGGAAAGCCGTCTCTTCAACATTGTTATTGCATAGGACACAATTGTAGTTGTTGCCTTCTAGCTTGTGTTTTTTCCTTTTGAGAATGTTCCTTGTATTTAGCCTATCCATGAGAAGAAGCCAAGCAAAAACTCTGAGTTTGTTGGAACATTTAGAGTCCCAAATCCAGATAAAAGGAGCCGGGGGCTGCACATTTTTGAAGGGAAAGTTGTAGAACTTTGTTGATGTATATTTGCTGCTTCCCCAAATATAATGCCAGGAATCTTTAGTATTTGGTTGCACTTGAAGTGTTGAATGTAATCTTGAAGGGCTTGATACTCTTGATAAGCTTGCTCTGACAAGGGAAGATGAAACTGGGTTTCAATGTTGTTGTTTAATAAGAATTCAGACACTGATACCTTCTTGTTTTTTGCAAAGGAAAACAGCCTTGGAAACTTGATTTGTAAAACATTGTCATTCCAGAGATCTGACCAAAATAGAACCGTTGACCCATCTCCCAGTTTACAGTTGGCAATACCTCTAAAGAGATCGCAAAGCTTTAAAATATCTCTCCACCAGAAAGAACCTTTATCAATGGTGGCATGGGGGATCTCCCCATTGGAGTAATGAGCGTACCAAATCAGCCTGACCTAAGGAATTTCCTTCTTGTTGTAGAATTTATCCAAATGCTTAAGAAGCAAAGCAAAATTTTGACTTCTAAGGTTGATGATGCCTAGGTGTTGGAGTATGAGAGTATGAGTGTATTAGGCCCATGAGGCCCATGTATGACTAATATACATTGCTACCCTTCTAGGGTGAGCCGAATAATGAATCCACACAAGTCTAGCATCTCCTCCCTCCCCTTCCCCAACCAGCCGCCAGGCGCCGCCGGCCGGCCTCTTGCCGCCGCCATGGCTGGCCGCCCTCCCCCTCCCTCCCCAACCTACTTCCACGTTTTCCCTCCCTTCCCTACGTCTGGGCCGCCAAGCCTCCTTGCCGGCCGACCTCCTTGCAGCTGAGCCTGGCTGGCCGGATGCCTTGTCATGCTGGGCCCTGCAAGCTCGGGCGTCACGCCGGCCTCCTGGCTGGCTGTCGCTCTTCGGGCCAGCTGGCTGGCGCAAGGCCTTGGGCTGAGGCCGCCTTGTTCATGGGCGCGGGGAGACCGCGAGCCTTTCTTCTTCCCGCTCTGGCCTCGCCGCCCCCTGCCCCTCTCCAGACGGGAGGGCCAACTCCGCTCGCCGCCGCCTCCTGGTCAGGTCCGGTCTTCTGCGGACAGCCAGAGCCTAGGGCCGCCTTCGCTTTGGGCCTTGGCCACTTGATTCTCTGCCTGCCCTTGATCGGCGAGGCGAGCAGCTCCTCGTCTTCTCCCATCCCACGCCACCGCTGCAGCCACCTCTCAGGCTCGACCGGGTCACTGCTGGCGTCTCACGCCAGTCATCCGCGACCGCCGGCCGACCAAGACGTGGCTCGGCTCCACTACCGGCCGGGTGTCGAACATCCGACTCCTCGTCCCGTCGTCCTCGAGCTCGAAGTCGCCCTGGCACGCTGCGGAGGGACCTGGTTCTCTCACCCTCCGCCACACGCCCTCGCGACCACGTCCCGATCGCCTCGTCTCATGCAGTCCCCCCATCGGCTCGGCGCCTCACAGCGCGCGTCTCTCTCCTGCGATCCTCGGGACGATCTCCTGGACCTCCACGACTCGTCCGCCTCGTGGCTTGGCCGCCGGCTCGGCTTGCGCTCGAGGAGCCGGTACTCCGACCGGTCGGAGCCACGCATCTCGTCTGAGCTTCCGCGCCTTCGTCTGAGGTGACCTCTCCGTTGGCGACTTCTGCGGCGCATGAAGAGCATGGCGGACTCCCTCGGCGACCTTTGCTCGGCCCGTGGAGGACCGCGATTACGGTCCTCAATGTCCTCCGCGGGCTCGATGGCCTTCGCCCACCTCGATCGGACGTGGATCACCCGCGGGTGAGCCCCTTCCTCCTTCCCGGCGCATGAAAGCATGCAGTCGTGGCGACCTTGTCATGGAGGAGCTCACGGTCCTCAATGCGCCCGGCGGGCTCGATGGTCCACGCCCACCTCCGGACGTGGATCACCTCGTCTTCCTCCTGCCTTGTTGGCTACTCCTTGTCATGGAGGAGCTCGTTCGTTCGCTCGGCCAGTGGTCCTCGTCGTCGCATCGCTTTGGTTCTCCTCCGGCTGTTCGTTGTGGCACCGTCGTCGCCGCTTGTTCTCCTCCCTGGTCAAGCGGGGTGGGGGCGTGTTGCGCATTGCCGCGGGGGCGGGGGGTGGGGGGGCATGGGGGCCACACACACCGGTGCCTCGAGGAGCCACAGTCGCCCGCGACTCCACTGGTGCACCTGGCCCTCTTTCCATAACCCGTGGTTGGGGCGCATCTCCATGTGGCCCTTCTCGGCTCAAGCGGAGAGCCTCGCCCACCAGTGGCCTTGCTCTTGGAGCTCCTCCGGGGTTTCACTCCCGTCTGCACAGGCTACACCTCCGGCGCATCTTTGTGGGTGCCACCTCCCGACACCTTGCCGGCACTGTCGGTTGGAACCCAATGGCCTTGGCGAGATCCTTCAAAGACCATGGCCTCGACACACGCTTTGCACGGCATCGATCGGATTGCCGACTCGGGTGCCACTTACCACACTCTCGGACCACGGTATACTCTCCTCTATTCACCCTCCTTCCTCTCATCCTTCGTCCATCATGGTCGCGCGAATGGTTCGTGTATTCCGATTACGTCCGTGGTGTGCAAGCACTCATGGTTCCTTTCTTCTTTCGACATTCTTGTTGCACCTCTATGGTTCACAACCTTCTTTCTATTCGTCATTTCTGGTGACAATTCTGCTCGTTGAATTTGACTCTTCCGGTCTTCTCAGAAGGATTCGGCTTCCCGGCGTCCTCTTCTCCGATGTGACAGCACGGGACCCCTTTACACCCTTCGGTTTCCGACGTCTGCTTCCTCTTCGTCGCCGTCTACTTTGTCAGCTGCCTTCGCCGCCACTCCTTCTTCCACCACTTGGCACCGTCGCCTCGGCCATCCTAGACGTGATGCTCTGACGCAGCTTAGTCGCAGTTCCGACATTGGTTGTACTCGGGCTCACGATGAGCACTTGTGTCATGCGTGCCAGCTGGGCCGTCATGTTCGTCTCCCTTTTTGTTCTTCTTCTTCACATGCTACGCATGTGTTTGATCTTGTACACTGCGACCTATGGACATCTCCTGTCATCAGCATTTCTGGGTATAAATACTATCTTGTGGTGGTTGACGATTTCTTGCATTATTCGTGGACTTTCCCCTTGCGTGCAAAGTCGGATACCTTCACCACTCTTCTCCACTTTTTCGCCTGGGTGTCTACTCAGTTCGGCCTTACCATCAAGGCCGTCCAGTGTGACAATGGCCGTGAGTTCGATAACGGCACCTCCCGTGCCTTCTTCCTCTCTCACGGTGTTCGGGCCATGCATGTCTTGCCCAGATACCTCCTCCCGAAGCGGCAAGGCCGAGCGCATGATTCGCACCACGAACGACACCATGCGCACCCTTCTGCTCCAGGCGTCGCTTCCTGCTCGCTTCTGGGCCGAGAGTCTGCACACCTCCACCTATCTCCTTAACCGCCTTCCTTCCGCTGCACCGCCTGGCTCCCACACCACACCAAGCTCTCTCTTGGTACCCTCCTCAGTATGACCACCTTCGTGTCTTGGTGTGTGCGTGTTACCCTAACACCACCGCCACCGCTCCCCTGGTGGCTCCCGTTCCGCTCTGTGTGTCTTCCTTGGGTACTCCCGGATCACAAGGGGTACCGGTGCTTTGACCTCACCTCCCGTCGGGTCCTCATCTCTCGCCA